GGATACGGATTCTACATTTTTTCCCCCATTCTCTATTTTCATGAATTTCTCAGAGGTCATGAGATTCTGAGGTTAGGTTTTCTATTTTTCGTCGTTGTAGTTGAATCAGGGCTTTCAGACTGTGTAATTTTTTTTCTTGGAACCCGCTCCGTTTAGCCACAATCTTGACGCAAAAATTTGATACTTTGACTTTATATATTGTATAGATGTATAGATAATGCAAAATAACTCATTACAATCAAACTCTGAACAAATGTTGAGTTTATCTTCAAAGGCTTTTAAGAAAAAGTTCAAAAACTTTTTCTTTTGAGTAAAGAGTTTCAACTTCGTAAGTTTGCTAAGCAGTCCATTCGTGCCTTAAATAATTTCTAGACCATCTAATACAATGGGCTTGATTCGGTGATAATCCTTTAGTCGAACCAGTCAGTTGAACTTGAGTGAAACCTGAAAATGAAATGTTTATTACATCAATTGGACTCAAATCAAAGAAGTCATTTTTGTGATTTTAGTTATGGGAAATAACCCGATGCTTTGGGTTAAGGTTTAACTCAAGCTTTGGGTTAACTTGACACTGATGTAGTCTATGGTTAACCTTGCTTTTTATTGCCATTAAGTTGTCTGACTCGGTTTGTTTTTTGCTCATTTCATTAACTAATGTCATCAAGGGCAAACGGCTGTTGATCAATTAATTTAACTCAACTCTCATAGGAAACCTTTACATCGTAATGTTTATTTTCATGAAACTGATTCTTTCAAGTTTAACAATTAATAGTTGAAAAGCTGCGAGTAAACTTGTGATTTGAAAAAAAGAAATCGTCTCAATGTATTGTCATGGTCATGTTGAACATGATGAAGGAGAAGTTAATTTGACAAGAGGAATCATTTGACGTTGATTAAAGTTGCGTTTGATTGTTGTGAGATGAACATGAAATGAGACACAAAAGTGAAGAGCCAAAATAATGGAATGATTGTTCAGGGGAAAAGTGATTAAAGATGAAGGAATCGATCAAGAAATCATTGAAAATGTTTGCAAGTGGAAATCGCTTTGTTGTTGTTGTTGTAAAGATTAAAGATGAAGTCAAAGTATGTATTCAGATGTAAGTAATCAATGAATCACTTTGATCAGTCTGGTAAGGATGAGCATCAAGATGATAATGGTAAAGATGATGATGAGGATGAGGAAAATGATGATCTAGAAGGAAAAGGAAGACATTGAGTATCTTTTTGGCTAGCAACTCTGTCTCTTCCAATAGTTAATGCTATTTTTGTAACTCACATCGTCAACATTGTTTATGTTTGCATCGTCATTTTTGCTCCTTTTTTTACTTTCCATTTAGTAACCAAGCAATGAATGTTGATTAATTATTCAACTGATTAATTTACTTTGATAAAGTTCATCGAAATTATCTAATTTACCATCAAAAGAGTCAATAATAAACACCAGAGAACCAATAAATAAAGAGAGAAATCAAAGTCAACCCAAACCAAATATTTAGGTTTGAAACCAGCAACCCATTTTGATGATTAGTCTTTGCCAAAAGTATCAAATTTTTCTTTGTCAAATGTGTTTTCTAACCAAGTGTTTTGAATGATTAGTTAATTGTTTTGATAAACAAACACCATGCAAAGTGTTCGATGCAATGTATCATCAAGAACTGAACCCAAAAAAAATCGACGTAAAGTCGTCTCACCTCAACTTTCAACCCAAGCAAGTCGTAAGTTACACACAATCTCACACTGATTCACATTGTTATTCATTTTCATCATTCATATTTTCAAATTATTAATCTGATTAGTTTGATTAATTTGATTAAGCTTGCAACCTAAAAGTCACACGGAGCTAAATGTACAATTTAACCTTTTTTATGTTGAGCATCTTTCACTCTTCTGGTTAAACCAGACTTTTCAACCCAAGTCACTTCCCATTACACTCGCTTTTGTGTAAATAAAATAAAGAAATGAAATTTCGATATAAAGTTCTGTCCATTTTCATCTCATCCTTTCAATCACAAGGATTGAACATTTCACTTAAAAGCCATGGGAAAAACTGAAAGAGCGACTTTTAAACACAACAGTTGGAAATAATCCCTTAATGTACAGCTGATACAAAATATATGTCAACAGATTTTGACCAAAAAATCAGGTCTTAGACAGGATCAATGACAATTTACAGTTAAACGCTGGTCTCGAGTTCAAAAGCTAATCCATTCATTTTAATCATTTCAAGTGAATAGAAATGAGTTTCATTTATTTATAACGGTTAACAGATGAAAATAAATCTTGATGAAAAATTAGGTGCTAAACCAGAAAAAAACAGATTTTAATTTTAAATGTTTGGTAAAATGTAAAATGAGTAGATTGTGTTTATTAAATCATGCAATGGTAATGATCAAATTTAATAAGGACAAAAGGTTTATAATCAAAATCTTCGTCTTATGGTTGGCAGTAAGACACGCATATTCAAACCTAGGCGAGTCACTTTGCCCCATCAAGTGGAGCACATAGTGAGACCCTTTACGAGCATTTTTTCATTTTCATCTTTTGCTATGTTATGGAGATGAATATGGAAATGAATGAAAATCAAAGTTCAATTAATTATCGACATGTTTACAGATGAGAGCTTTTTAGCCCAAATGGTTTACATTAACCCATCAATCAATCAAAATATTGTAAACTATTGACATTGACAGATTAAACAATCATTTAATCATTCACTAATAGCAACGATAATCGACAATTTGGTTTTGCTTTTGAAAAATGCTTTTCATAATCAAACGTTTCCCTTCAATGGTCTATTGAGCAAACATTTGAACAATGAAAATGTTGAAATTGATTACAATTGATATTCTTTATCAAATAAAATGCCATGTTCAATATGATTTTTCATGAAAAATTGAACACCAAAAATAGATACACAAACACGTCAAAATGGGAATCTAAAATTGAATACAAATTTAAGCCCAAAAATGATTTACATTCAATATGAATTGCTTGCAATCCAATTTTATTTCATATTTACACTTTATATGATTATTATTATTATCACTTTTCCTGTAACCTTATGGTTGAATTGAATCTTTCATCGTTCAACTGAACAATGAAAAGGCAGAAATAAAATGGCAAACAATTTTGTAAAATTGAAAAAATTGTAAAATATTTTCTTTCCTCAATTCATGGCAAATGTTTAGTTTCATATTTATATTCATTGAAGCATACACTTTTGTATTAACATTATCCATTATACCAGTTAATGAATTTATTATTGATCATTTCATAGACTTGTTATTTAATTAAATTGTAAACTGATTGTTCAATTGATTAGGAATGAAAGTTTAAACCAAAAAATTGATTGGGTTAAGTTGAAAGCTTGCATAGGTTTACATTTTGCAAAAACAACTGTTAATGTTTACCAAAGGATTTAATGGACTCTAATGAAAATCCTTTTAAAAGCTGATTTACAGTTGATTTACAGTTGATTAAGATGCTAATTAAGGTTACATTTCAAGGTTTGTGTAAACAATTAATTTGTGAATTAGTTAACCAGTTTGGTCTGTTTCAATGTTCATTAAATAACCATTTTTGTTGTTCAACTCAATTCTGGTTGAGGTTGACAATTTAACTAACAGATTATACTTGACTTGTAAACTGGATTATATTAACGGTTGTAATAAAGATAACCTTATTAGTTAATTTACTTTGTTGTGCTCAGCATTTGGGTGTTATTCAAGCCAGATGAAGGTAACCAAGTCAATAGATTCATCCCAATAATCATGGTTAATGCATTTGCACAATTAATTATTTACTATTATGAAAGTAGTAAAGGTAAGGAAAATGTATGAATTTTTGAGATTGCTTTGAATAAAGGAAGCAATTTTGATGAGCTTTTTAATTGTTAATAAGCAAATCAGGAGTCAAGCTTCATTATTTATGGTTAGACTGTTGGGATTGTAATCTAAATTGTATAGATATTCGCTATTATTTAGTGTTCATATCTTGGTTAACCAGAAAATGGGAAAATGGAAAATCTTGAAACCAGAAAAGATTGAAATCTTATTTTTGTTTCAATTTATTATGATAAACTAAACCAATTAAAGCAAATATTTGCTCTTTTTGATTCGTCTCATCGATCAAACAATTTTAATCATAATTGTCGTATCCATCTATTCATTGATCAACTGTCAACTGGTCTTTTTGCTATCATCAATAATAAGATGGGTTTAAATTGATAATCGGGTTAATATGGGTTCAGGTTTTTGGGTTGTCACACTGAACAATGTAATGATTAATTGTCTTGTATTATTTTAAGGAAAGGTAAGATGAATGAAGAGAGAAAGTAAGATTAGACAAAAGTAAAGGATTAGAATGATGAACTGAATATTATTGATAATCTTCATTAATTCATTGATGAATATGTATTTCTGTCATTGCTAATAGCTTTGATCATTGGAAAGGATGCTTCAGATTAACATCTTGATTGTGTTATAATCATTTCTTGTTCTGGTTGTGTGTTTTTGGGGAACACTTTTTTCTGGTTTCAAAACCCATTGTTATTAAAACTCAACATTTATCTTCATCCTGACCCAGAATGAATCTAACTGACCAATTGTTCATCTTATTTTCCATCTTTGTTGACACCAAAACAGGTTAATGATATATGAGATGGTCAACTTATTTCCTGTTCAAGCTTAATCAAAATATCCAAAGCTATATAAGATTTAGCCTGGTAAAGGTTAAGCTTATTGCAATGGTTTTTGATTAAACTTGGCCTAGTAATTGCTTGTTTACTGAATTTAGTCAACTGCTTAAGCTTTTAAGGTTAACCTGAGAATGGGTTTAAATTGAATGATTGGTACAATGTTTCAAGTTTTGTCAACAGAACTCAAGATTCTGAGTTTGTTTTACTAAGCAAATAATCATTTTTGATCATCCTAATTGACTGACCAACACTCATTTCTGACTAATTGTTATTAATCGTTGTTTTTTCCTCTCCATTGTTGCAGAAAGAGATTTTGATGATTTTGATGGACAACAAGTACACATCAAACCTGAACCAATTGAAGTCTTATGCCAATTGACTAAATTCAGTAAACAAGAGCTTCAAGTAATGTACAGAGGATTCAAACAGGTAAGACTTTTGATCCAGATAATTCACAATCTCTTGGTTGATACACTTAGAATATGACTTTTGTCCCACTTTTTTGGATATAAAATACGATTGAAACTTGGAACCATTTATTGAACCAGAAATTGAAGTAATGCCATCATCAACGTCAACCTGTAACAAAGAAAAGTCAATTATTGTTTTTCTATCAAATTACACTGAAAAATCATCAAAATATCTTATTACAAATATAGCAATTGAACAAGTAAGGCTGAGGGAAATTGAGCGAAAGATTAAGATAAATTGAATTAAAAATAGAGATAAGTAATTTAAAATTGAATACTTTCCTGAGAGTTTCCATTCCATAACCAAGCTTTCCATGGGTTTACAGGCAGCTAAGAACAATCTCAATATCTCGCTGTATTTACATTCAAATGTATGCACATTTTAGCTCAGAGCAATCCAGTGTAGAGTCATAATTCAATCTCCATCCAATATTTGGTTACATCTTTTGATGGTTAAAGTGTATCTAACGGCGGTTAATGATTAATCATATTTGCTTGTGACTATGTTGCTTCACTCTAGTTTGATAATTAAATTGAGATGAAATGTTTTCCCTCTTCTTATTTGAAGAGATAATTGTTGTTTACAATAGCCACTAATATAAATATCACAATTTACTTTACAGGATTGTCCATCAGGAGTTGTAAAAGAGGATATGTTTAAAGTCATTTATGCTCAATTTTTTCCTCGAGGATCAGATGCGAGTCAATATGCACATTATATTTTCAATTCATTTGATCCGGAACACACTGGATCCATCACGTTTACGGTATAGACAATTTATTTGAACAATACAAATTTCAAATTCCAATTATATTCATCCAAACAATTTAACCCAACCTAGCAGCAATCAAATGTAACAGAAGAAGCTGAAACAAAAAACATAAGATGGAAAGGACAACTCAAGACAGGGACAGAGCAATAAGAGTTACTGAGCGAACTAAAATCACCTAAAGTCATTTAAGTACATGTAGACCAATTGAATCGAGTAAATTTTATAAACATTATAAGTTTAAGTAGTTTGTAGAGAATCACAATTAAACAAGAGTTTGATTTATTTTTAAACACGACGTTAGATAAACGGTTTTTTTAAAGAAATACAATTACATAATGTCGCCATCTCACGAAATAGGGGCTAATTAAAAGTTGTGCTAGTCGCCTATTGGAAGAAATCAAAAGCCATGTGATCAAACTTCTTGAATTGTTGGTCAAATGTTTTTCAATGTGATTAAGTGTCTTATTTTGTGTAAATTGTCTTATTTAACCTGATTTTGTTCATTTAATGGTTTTATTGTTCATTTTCTTCTCAGGATTTTGTTGTTGGTTTATCAGTCTTAGCCCGTGGGAGTGTCCAAGATAAACTACGCTGGGCTTTCAATTTATATGATGTAAATGGTGATGGTGTGTTGACCAAGGATGAATTTGCCCAAATAATCTCGGCTGTTTATGATCTTATGGGTAAATCAGTTGAATTTGTTCTTGATGGTAAAGAGCAAACTGATCGAGTATTTAGGGTTAGATTAATTTCTCTCTTAACCAGTGCTATTCACTCTCAAAGATACCTTCCATGAAAAGTGCGTTTGTTTCATGTTAGACCTCGTTAGTGCTATAATCTGCTTGAAATTATTCTTTCACAGAATTGCTTAACATGATTAAGGACAAATATGATCTCAATTTCAACTATTTGAGAGTGTAAATTGCGTCTTTAGTCTCGTGTCAGCTTAACAAATTGCTGCAGATGTTTCCTCTGATACTATTTCTCTTCTGATTATTTTGCTTTTTCATTTGTTTGTATCTTTGAGAGTGAAAAGGGCCAAATATCTGCTTTATTTTGAACATATTTTTTACTTTGTCTTATGTCTTTTGTTTTTACTCTTTGCTTCTTATACAGAAATTTGATCAAAAACAAAAAGGAGTTATCAATTTACAAGAATTCATCGATTCGTGTCTTCAAGTGAGTCAATTTTTGCTCATCTTTGTAAACAACTCGACTAAATTGGAATTGAAGAAAAGGCTTTCAGTATTGCATTATAACTTAAATTGATCAGCTTATAACCTTTTTGTTGGTTTTTAATCTTAAAATAACCATAAGCATCCCACAAAATGGTAAAAAAATCAACATTCAATGTTTAAATAAAATTCCTCATCGTTAGTATTTGGATTATTGTTCCTCTGTTTGCTGTAAAATCAATAACAATGTTTAACTCAATTGTTCAATGTTTAAGTTAACACATTGGAAAAAAGCAAGCATTGAAGTAAAATAATCAATTTTTAAACAGACAATCGAGTAAAATTACTACTCGATTGTAATGAATGATCAAGGGAATGATTAAGTTAACAGATTCTAGGAATAAGATTGCTGGTTGGAAAGAAAAGAGAAATAAATTTGGTTAAATTGATGACATTAAACATGATTTTGGTTGCCATTGTTGATTCCTAATTGATGTTTACATCTCTACAACATCTATTACAACAACTATTATTAACACTTAGGTTTGCTGAATCAGGATTCATCATCGCTAAGTTATCATTATTTGTTTCCTGAATCGTTGCATGAAGCCTTTTGTGTAATGAATTTGCAAATATATCAATCTTACAGTTGTATTGTTAAAAATGAATTATCCCTTCGTAAGTGTAGTCATCCAAGTAAAGTTGAACTGAACACTTAAATCTAACCATAAAGTGTTAAATTATATCAAGTAGATTTAATCTACGACAACAGCTATTAATGCAATATTAATTTTTCATTTCTTTCCTTTCATTTCAGGATGAATCAATTACAAAATCATTATCCGCTCTCGACACCATATTTTGAATGGATACTAAAAGCACAATTGACATTATCTGATTGGAAACATTTTACCTGCCAATTTGTTTCAATTTGATATTCGGTTTATGAGTCCAGTTATGAGATCTTCAAGGGATCAAGCGAAAGCGAAAGTAGAAAGACCAAATTCAAGTGTAAAGACAAACAAAATTGTAACCCAATTAATTGTATTTGTGAAGCTAGATTTTGATTGCTAATAATCAATTACAATGCTGTTTTTTACTGAACATGGAATTGTTGAAACTCAAGTTGAAATGGTATTTAATCATGGTTCCATGTCTAGATTCAAGATTGGATTATCAAGTTTAATCATTCAACCAGGGAACCAGGAATGATCACTATGATTCTTGGTAACAATCAAATCAAATAAAAAAACAATTGACGAGCTGCTTGGACCAAACCAACTCTTCAAGCTAACAGCACAATGTTGCAAAATTAAATTACAATAATCAAGAGCAACTGATTTTTGTAACTATTATAAAGAGGCAGTTAAATGACAAATTGATCATAATAAAAAAGAAACTCAATTTTAATGATGGAAAAAGTTAATTATCTTGTTTTATTTATCCTCACTGTCCTTTGGTTTCATTCAGTAAACTAACAAATCCAACTTGAACATCATTATATTTTCAATTGTATTTGAGTTAAATGAATTGAACTCTTTTTTTTACTGACAAGCATAAATAAATCTGTTGAAATTCATATGAAGATAAAGTTGCAATCCAATGGAATGAGATAATCAATTGATTTTCATTACATTCGATTTCATCCTGGTCAATTGAAAAGAACACCATTTTTTTATGAAAACCATTGAAAATTAATGCGGTCGAGAAAACGAATGGAGCTTTTTATGCTGGACATTTAGCTGTGGATCATTGAGTTGATTTTTATTGATGGTTAAAACACAATTGGAAATAGATTTTTATAATTGAATATTTTTAACATTTTTTATATTCCTTTTCTCCTCTGTCAATAATAAGACCTTTTTCATACATCAGCATTGGATCTTCATGGAAATTGTTTGACTGGAAGAACCAAGAATCAATTATCAGTACAAATGAGACCAGTTTTTTTCCACATCCACCACATTTCAGTCTATTTTCAATCACTTTTATCACCGTATTGTCCAACACTCAAATCTAATACATCCGCGAATGATTTGTTGGATTGATTGTGAGGTAAAGTGGTTGAAAAGAGATTGAAAAATGAGGTGAAAAGTTGGTCCTGTACAAATAAAGTTGAACAGTTTATTTCAGTCAGCAGTGAGTAAACATTAAACCTTTATGAGACTCCAATCTAGTCCACCTTCAGTCCATCTGCAGTCCATCAAGATAAAGTCAATTTAATTTCATCAATTATTCACAATACTAGATGTTATCGTTTAATTTCATATTAATAGCAGTTTAATAACATTGATTAAAGATTTATTGAGTTTGCTTTATAAAGTAACCAATAGTATCGAAAATGTTTTATCGATATATCGAAATAGGGTTTGTTTTTCCTGAAAACCCATATTTTGTTATCTCTATGGATTAAATTCAGGTCATAAGGAGTACTTTTGTTAATTTTGTTTTTTACTTTCATTTTCATGTTATCCATTATCATTTAATTATCATCACACCACTGCCGATCTCGATTGGAGTTAATAATGATTGAACAATATTTAACTGGTTTTCAAAGGTTCCTTTTCCTTTGAGCCAGTCTAAACAAAAACCAACTCAATAACAAGTTGTAAACAACAAAATCATCAACGTTTTCTTCCTCATCACCTTTTTTCTCAAGGTTTTTTCTACACCGGCCCATATTTTCTTACTTTATCCCTTTTCACCTCTTTGATAACTTATAAATTGTTTTCTAAATCATCTGGCTCTATCCGTAACTGCATGGCATCATCATGGTTCGATTCATCGAGATGTTTGATAAATATAATTACTCGTGGGATCAAGTAGTCAGAGCCTTTTGGTGTCGTTATCCTAACCCATACAGGTGAGTTAATTTTATTACTCTAACTACAAAATCAAATTCTTACTCTATGTATTATCTTTTTCATTTATTAACAGTAATCATGTGCTTACTGAAGACACCGTTGAGCGTTATGTTGATAATGAAGGCCGTTTAATAAGTAAGAGATTAATTTGCAAAACGAGTCGACCACCTGGATGGGCAGAAAGGTTCGTTCCATCAAGAATTTGTTACATTCTTGAAGAATCTATGGTTGATCCAGTTAATAAGGTTTTTGAGACCAATACTCGTAACATTGGAATGCAAACAATAATGACAGTCGATGAAAATGTTGTTTATCGACCAGCAAATGATAATCCAAATTGTACTATATCAGAACGAAAAGCTTGGATCGATTCAAATATGTACGGTCTCTCTAAAGCTGTTCAAGCTGTTGGAACTGAAAGATTTAAGCACGGTTGCACCAAAGCTGCTAAAGGATTACAATTAGTTTTGGACGCTATGTATTCTAATGGAGAGACTACCATAGACACTAATAATACCATTTTACACCCGTTGTTAATGGAGAAACTTAAAGAAAAAGCTTTATCAATTAAGGAGAAAGCAAAATTGAAAGGAGTGCCTTTGGTTACCGTTGCTGCATGTACCCAAAATCAATAATACAAACAATATCTGAATCAACAAACAGATTGTAAAAAAGAAGGAACGAATTTGCTCATTTTAATTGAAACGATAAATTATTTGATTTGTATCTTCTGGAAATCGTTGCAAATTTAGCGAAAGTGAAAGAGAGGGCAGACCGAAAAATTTAGTAAATAATATGGATTCTAGTCTTGAAAAAATGTCAATTGAAAAAAATAACATTTAAAGTTTTTGAATAAGTTTATTGGTAATTTTGTGGTGGATTTTTTACACAACTATAACTTTGATTAACACCTTTTACCCTCCCTCTTCAATTCACAGAGATGATAATTTTTCGATTTTCTCATCTAAGGTGATACACTTTTATAACTACTCCAGTAGATTATTGTGTCAATTCACTTTCTCGAAGTATGATTTGGCATTCTTTGGATCAATAGTAGGAGCATTGGGTTTCCAATTAGCTGGACAAACTGTAAATAAAAATGAAAGAAATAACGATAAGCAATAAATGAGATTGTTAATACTATTTGAATTGATTTTTTCTTGATATTCAATTTGAGTTAATGTTTGACAATCAAGCAACTCTACCTGGGAATCGGTAATACATTATTCATCCTAACTCAACCAAATGATAAGTTTATGTACAAGAAAACTTGCGAACGAGAAAGAACATTCTAAAGGTTCTTAGACTCTTAATCTAATATTGGCATTTTGTCAATTGACTCAAACATTACTCAAGCTTATTTGCAGAATGAGTTTTAATTCAACCTACCTTCACCATGTTTCTCAACATATTGGAAAGCTTGTATTACACGTAAAGCCTCATCAACAGATCGACCCACTGGTAAGTCATTGATGGTAATGTGACGAACAATACTTTTTGGATCAATCAGGAAAAGTCCTCGAAGTGCAATACCTTCTTTCTCTAATAGAACACCATAGTCTTTGGATATTTGTTTATTCAAATCAGCAATCAAAGGAATTTGCATTTGTCCTAAGCCGCCATCCTAAAGAGACGTTGACATTAGAAAAAAAAGAGTCGAATCATTAGAATGAAATGGAAACAGTAAAATAAAAGATTTCGGTAATCCAAATTTAATGAGCAAAGCAATTCCTGTTAGTTTAACTTTCAGAATATATTGCCAGACATAATCTAACTATATCTTCCTTGTTAGAGAAGATCCTATAAAGAGTCTACTTGATTCATCACTTGAAAGATAATCATGAAAAATTCTGCTCAATGTATCTTACCTTTCGTGGAGTATTGACCCATGCAAGATGAGTGAAATGGGAATCAACAGACACAGCAACTGGTTCAGCATTAAGAGCACGGAATTCATTTGCACGATCACTGAAAGCAATTATCTCGGTAGGACAAACAAAGGTACTACAAAATAAATGAAAAATAATTAAACAACAGTTTTTCGAACAGCAGGTAAAACTGTTCCATCCGAATAACTTACAAGTCCAAAGGATAGAAGAATAAGACCAAATATTTCCCTTGATAATCACTTAATTTGACGTTCGTAAATTTTTTATCAACAACTGCAGTAGCCTCGAAATTAGGAGCTGGTCGTTGGACACTGATATTCCTGAAGCTATGGAGCATAGAAGCCTAAGAATATAAATAAACAAATAATTAACCAAACTGAATGTCAAAATCGATAGATGAAAGACTTACCCGACTTAAAACACGCTTAAACATTGTTTAATAACTATTAAAATAACTGTTAATGAAAAAAAGTGATGGAACGACAATCAAAACAAGGTCAACACCAAAGACTATCCTGTTAACACATGAGTGAGGGTCTGTTTAATAATTATGGAATGTAACAGTTAATTATTTCAGTCCAATCTACGTTATAATTCATGGTAAATAAATGAATCAACATCAAATAAATTGCTTAGATATTTCAACAATTATATTTGTCCATTACTTGGAAAAATATCCCGATAGTTTGAAGCATTTATTAGTTTCTTTGCAAAGCGCTGATTTAAGTTGAACCAAATGGTGCATATTGATAAATCAACTTTCAACTCAATTCATGTGATTAAAATCAGAGACATTGATCAGCCTCACCGAAAGTTTCTCCATGGATCTAATCGGGTTGATTGCCTCTTGAATAACCAATCCAATGTGGATAGTTGCTTGGTTTGGGAGGATTCAATTTGTGATGATGAACTTGCCAGATAGCTGATTGGGATTGCCTTTCAATATAAACTCTAGACTCTTAATCAACTTTACTAAAACCTTGAATTGACATTGAAATTGATGTTCAAGTTATCACAATTTTTCACCAGATTTTAAGATCAGATTATTTCACCCCAGATATATCAGCTTCAAAATCAGCACTCAAATAATGACCCAATTAAAAGTTTTCATTCGCTAAAAAATCGCTATTTGCTGTAGGAGAAGCTCAATTTTCAATTTTGGAACAATGGACTTCAAGTCATTTACTAAACTCTGTAGCTTGTATTCAGCTAATTAACTAAATTAGATGGGAATATGAATATTCTAGGAAGGTAAAACATTAAATTAAAGGTTAATTGAAAGTCAAACAATGATTTTTTTTCATGTAAGCTTGAAGAATCGAAATTGATCAGGCGACATCAAATGCAATGCAGAGGATGTTGATAGTAATTTTTGTGTAACTTTGATTATCGATGTTTGCTGTTATTCAATATTTAATACAACAAAATTGTTCAATTAGCTTTCATTGTTAATACTAAATTCATTTTCATGTTGCATTTTTCATCCAAATGAACCTGTGCTTACGTGACTTGATGAGGGAGAGGAAAGTGAGATGTTTTTTTACTACCTTTGGAATGAGAGTCACAGTTGCTGCCACACAATGAATTTACATTAACATTGTCAATATTATCTAATCTTAAGGTTCTTACAAGTTTAATTCAATTCAATATAATATAACTTTAGTTTGTTAACTCATTGGGTACCTAAATTAGTATTTCATTACTTCTTGCCCAGTGAATCGTGTTGCTTTGTTACCATTTCATCTTTGTTTTTTCCCTTTTGTTTATACTCAACGTTTTCTATTGAAGTAAAGAGCGATGTCTTGTAAAGGTAATTTATTTTTTTACTTGATTGGAATTTCAATTTTCTCAGTGATGATTGTTATTTCGAAACTAAGCCAACATCTTGACTGAATTTCATTGTTGACTCTTTTTTGGGAAAACGTCAATATCAGCTGTTACCATCAATTTTTTGTAACTTTGCCTAGTCTCATTTTTTCTTGTTGTCTTTCTCAATGGTTTTTATTTCAATTATCAGCTTTCAAGAATTTATTAACACCATTGGAGGTTGGTGGTCAAACTTATCAATATTATGATTTGACAAAATTGGATCAAGAAAAATACCGTAAGTAGCTGCTGTTTAAGTCTTCTTTTTTTTGTTATACCTCTATGGTCAGTGCTTAGTCACTACAAGCCTTACATTTTCACTGTTTTGTGTCATCTTTTGCCCATTTCAGGAAAGCTTCCCTTTTCAATTCGGATTCTTCTTGAGTCGGCCATACGATCTTGTGATGGATTCCAGGTTAAGGAAAAAGATGTGGACATCATCCTTAATTGGGAACATAATCAATCAGAAAGTATTGAGATTCCATTTAATCCATCCAGGGTAATCCTTCAAGATCTAACTGGTGTACCTGCTGTTGTTGATTTTGCTGCTATGAGAGATGCTTTTCAACGTCTTGGAGGTGATCCGGATAAAGTTAATCCATTGTGCCCAACCGATTTAGTTATTGATCATTCTGTGCAAGTTGATTACTCTAGAACGTACGTCTTGAAATTATTTTCATAATTATCCTAGTCAAATCAATCAAAACAATGTCCAATATCCTTTCTGATTAGTTGACCAAGTTCAAATCAAAAGTTAGCCATAGATATATCCTTTAATCTATAATTATTTTGATGGATCATTTTTCAGTGAGAAAAAAAATTCAATCTTTGGATAACTTTTGACAGAACTTCTCTCATTTGAGCTGACCTCACCTTTTCCCTAAATCCTTTTCTCTTCTCCTTCCCTTAACAATTTCAAAAAACATGAGACATGTACAGTGAAATGATGAGACTCGGAACCAAATACCATGGTTCTATTTTCCAGTATTTTAAACATGATAAGGCCTGGAATCGGGAAAAGTAATGGCCGAAACTCACCCTCAACTCAAGAATTCTGTGATGATTGTCAGAAAAATGGTAAATGCATGTTGGCAGACAGCTTAATTAAAAGTTCAGTTCCTGTTCGGGTGAACAATGGACATGCCAATCATATTGTTAACGATATCGAAAATTGGATTCCTCATAGTTTTGCCAAACTTCGCCAAGACTCTTGTCCCTTTCATCGACAACAATCCTTAGGGTTGGCACCTTAATTTTCTTCATCTCTCTTAATTCTTTTCAAATGTCTCCTCTTTTTCAGCTTTTGTTTCTTCTTGTTGCTAACTAATCACCAACTATTCAAAAGCTCTTTACGCTCACACTTCCATAATTCACCAGTTTTGCCATTACATCTGTTTATTTGTCAATTTTATTATAATAGTTTTATCCTTGTTCCATGTTTCTGCTTTCTTCTCGTTCTCTTGTCAATTTTCATTTATTGCTCTTACCTTTAAGAGTTTCTAAAATCAATCTACAGACATTGTTCTCGTATAGTGATTCAAGCTGAATTGCTTTCCGTTAATTTTCCCAAAATTTAGTTCGATTTGAAAATTTCATCTGAGTTTGGTGCAACCTGGTTTGTTCCTCCTTTCCTATCAAATCATCATTCCAATAGTTCTCTTTATTCTTAACAATACCACCATTTAAATTAACCATTATTGAACCAACCTTTCTTTCATTTTCAACCAGAATCATCTGGGAAAGTCTTGGCCGAAGTTTAATTTTAGCAGCAAGCTCTTCGATGAGTGAAAATATTCTCAATTTCCAGTCATCCATCAAAGAATGCACTTCAATCTATAACAATTTTACACCGTAATAATCATTGAATGCTATAAATTTTATTTCCCTTATATATTTTATAGTATTTATTAATATTCCATATCAGGAAGTTGTAATTTATTGAATTTATTGTCCTGCTAATCTCTGTCAGAATTACGATTATAATTGTTTGCATTCGAAATCTTGAAATCTAACGTTGATTTATTAATTTTCAATTTTATATTTGTTCTGCATGCTTATGAACAGTTTCAATTTTTTTACTGTTCTTGTAAACGGTAAATAACGTCATAGATGATTGCGAATGCTTGACTTTTCCTCCTTTATCCCATTTTAATGCTCTTACCCTTTAATAATCAACTCCTTTCAGAAATCATATTGGATTTTATCCTTTGCTTTACCATAATGTCTATCATAAAAAATTCTGGCTTTGTTATGATCTTGTCAGCGAAAGAGCAACTGATTGTGGCTGGTTATACATACATTCAATTTTTAATGATATTTTTCTCAACTTCCCTTTTTCCCTTCCTATTTTCAGAGCTGACTCCCTCCATCGTAATCAAGACATTGAATTTCAAAGAAATAGAGAGCGATTCCAGTTTCTCAAATGGGGCTCCAAAGCTTTACGCAACATGACCACAGTACCACCAGGATCTGGTATCTGTCACCAAGTTAATCTTGAATATCTCGCTCGAGTTGTTTTTAAATCTGAAGGTTTACTCTTTCCCGACTCATTAGTCGGTGCTGATTCTCATACTACCATGATCAATGGTCTTGGTATAGTTGGTTGGGGAGTTGGTGGAATCGAGGCTGAAGCTGTTATGTTAGGTCAATCAATTAGCATGGTTCTTCCTCAAGTTGTTGGTTACAAATTAGTTGGTAAATTACCTCCTCTTGCGACGTCAACCGATTTAGTTTTAACCATTACCAAGGTAATTGATTTTCTAGAAAATGCCATTTTTTCCTTTTTTTAATGAAATTCGCTGAGTTTGGTTGATATCTCAAAGCTTGATAAACTTGCTATGAAATTCTTGACTTTTACTCATCTATTTCTGAGAAGACACCAACTTTTGTAGTTATTCAAATTAGACAATCAGCTACGTTACTTGAGATTGTAGAAGATCATTTACTATTTACATATTATAACATGTTGATTTATGTTTCTTAATCTATAGCATCTTCGTCAAGTTGGTGTTGTTGGTAAATTTGTTGAATTTTTTGGTCCCGGTGTTGATGAACTATCGATTGCTGATAGAGCTACTATTGCCAACATGTGTCCAGAATATGGTGCAACCATTGGATTCTTCCCGGTTGATAATAAAGCCTTAGCTTATTTAGAGCAAACAGGACGAGGTGAAGAGCACATTAAGTATATCAGCTCGTACTTGAAAGCTGTTAAACTTTTCCGTGATTATCAAGACGCATCCGAAGATCCAATCTTCTCAGAAGTTTATGAGCTTAATCTTGCCTCTATAACTGCATCAACAAGTGGACCTAAACGTCCTCAAGATCGAGTTGCCGTAACTGATATGAAAAATGATTTTCTCCAATGTTTATCAAACAAAGCTGGTTTTAAAGGCTTTGGTATCTCAAATGAAGCATTAGATGATAAGTCATCTTTCGTCTTTGATGGGCAAGAATATGTTTTAGGCCATGGATCAGTAGTTATATCAGCAATAACAAGTTGCACCAATACATCTAATCCATCAGTTATGCTAGGAGCTGGTCTTTTAGCTAAAAAGGCTGTTGAAAGAGGACTTAATGTTGCTCCCTACATTAAAACCAGTATGTCACCAGGATCTGGTGTTGTCACTTATTACCTTAAAGAGTCAGGAGTTGCCCAGTATTTGGAAAAATTGGGCTTTGACATTGTCGGTTATGGTTGTATGACTTGTATCGGTAACAGTGGACCCTTGCCTGATCCAGTGGTAGAGGCCATTGAACGTAAAAACTTGGTTGTTGCTTCAGTCCTTTCTGGTAACCGGAATTTTGAAGGTCGTGTTCATCCCAACACTCGAGCTAATTATCTTGCTTCACCATTGCTGGTTGTTGCTTATGCATTAGCCGGGACAGTTGTTATTGACTTTGATTCATCACCACTTGGTAAAGATCAATCTGGTAATAATGTTTATTTAAGGGATATTTGGCCCTCAAGAGATGAAATTCAAGATATTGAACAGAGATATGTTATACCTGCCATGTTTAAAGAAGTTTATTCCAAGGTTACTCAAGGCAATGAACGTTGGAATAATTTAGAAGTATCAGAATCAATCTCATATCAATGGGATCCAGACTCAACGTACATTAAATGTCCACCATTTTTTGATAACATGACCATAGATTTACCTCCAATTAAACCGATAACAAATGCTCGAGCTTTACTTTATCTTGGTGACTCTGTTACCACTGATCATATCAGTCCAGCTGGTTCGATTGCGAGAAACAGTCCAACAGCTAAATATCTTATGGAACGCGGGTTCGTAAAAATTTAACATCTAAACCCATTTTATTTAGCTTGTTGAATCTTTTCCCACAGAAAACTAATCTTTTTCATTTGTATTTTCAGTGTTGAACCAAGAGACTTCAACTCGTATGGGTCTCGTCGTGGTAATGATGCTGTCATGGTTAGAGCTACTTTCGCCAATATTAGGCTTGTTAACAAATTAGTTTCCAAACCAGGGCCAAAAACCATTCACGTTCCAACTCGAGAAGAGGTATTTCTTTATCTTTTTTCTTCTATTATCAAATACTAATGTTTTTATATTTTTTAGCTTTTCGTTTTCGATGCTGCGGAAAGATATAAACAAGAAGGCACTTCTTTAATTATTATTGCTGGTAAAGATTATGGAAGTGGTTCCTCTCGAGATTGGGCAGCTAAAGGTCCACTACTTCAAGGAATCAGAGCTGTTATTGCTGAAAGCTATGAACGAATTCACCGAAGTAATCTCATTGGTATGGGTGTTATGCCATTACAATTCATGCCTGGTCAAAGTGGACCCAGTTTAGGACTCACTGGCCATGAAGTTTTTACCATCGAAATGCCCGAGCCTTTAGCTACTCGACAAAAAACTAAAGTTAGGGTATGTTTGAATGTTATCAATAAGAACTTACAATTCTATTTCTACTGAGAAATGGCAAGTTTCAAATGCTAATTAAATTTTTTAATTTTTATTTTCTCAGGTTCAAGGCAATGATCAAACTAAAGAGTTCGATGTGCTTATCAGATTCGATACAGAAGTTGAACTTCAATACTACCTTAATGGAGGAATATTGCAATTTATGTTGAGAAGACTATTGAAAGAATCTTAAATCAATTACTCAAGCTCATTTACTGTGTTAATTTATTCCTCGGTTATTTTATGGAACATTCGACTTCAATATCCTGATCAAACATAAATAAATATAAACGAAGAGACGAATATAAACTATATACTTTTACTGGAGTAAAATGTTATCTTTCTCAATACTTTTCTATCAACATTAACTTTTTGCTCAAAATTTATCACAATTAATGATTTTATAAAATTTCTTTTCTTCGTTCAATTTGAATGCGCAATATGTGTAAGAAAACTTGGGATAAATAAATTAATTTAAACGAATGCGTCTTTTTTAAAAGTCAATTTTTAGTTAGATTCATGTTACTCAGTAACTGATATTATTTAGAAAAGGAAAACAAAGTTTTCATTGTTCAAGTTGATTGAAAAAAATTTACAAAAAAATTCAGGATAAAAATTTTCTTTCTATATAGTCAAACAAAGGTTCCATTTCTTGATCATGGTCAAGTGAAGAAACGTAGCTTCCATAATCGAGTAAAAATTGATAAAGTTGGCCAGCGGAAACATTTTTCTCAGCTAAACTGGTAACAATTTTGTTCATATTAGTTGATAAATTAAAATCACCAAAAGTAAAATAAACGAGGTCTTTTTCATTAAGAGAAGCAGCAATCAGCTGGATAAGAGATTTTAGTTGTGGATCACCTCGATATACACCACAACCCCAATTACCTGTGGCAACAGCACATCTATTTTTTGGGTCTAGTTTGCGTCTTTCCATAAATGCAACATACGCTTTTATTAACTCTCTATCGATGCAACCTTTCCTGTATTGATTACGAACTTTGTCCGCTGGAAAATAGCTTGCATCCATTGCGACTATTTTGGTATAACGGCGACCCCATTCATCGGTTGGAGTTGGATCATAATAGTTACCGTCGTAAAGAAATGTATCGCCATAACCAGAATACTTATTAAACTGTTCGGTTCCTGTTATCAATAAAGCTTCATTCTCAAGTAAAACTTCAGTAAATAACATGGAAGCCATTAACTCTGGGTTGATAACAAAACGAATCTCTTCTTGAACAAGTCCAGATCTTAAAACTCCTCCACCAACATATTTATTTGCAAAGTCCGCTTGTAACATTCCAAATCCATGAGTTTCAATCGCACCTTTGGGACAAACGCATATTCTTTTAAGGTTGTAATTTGATGATGACCAGTTAGTAATTTCATTATCAGCCAAATAACGCCTTTCAAAGGAAACAACACCCTTCGGAGGATCACTTACAACCCGTTGAAAATAATTAATGATGCATTTTAACTTTTCCAATTTACGAGTGAATCTTTCGTCATTAGGATGAGAAAACAATCTGCAATAAGTTAGATCAGAAACCCGTTAGAAGATGATTGAATGCTCAAATTTTTATCGAACTGAATAAACTTACTTTGCAAATGAGAAATCTTGCAATTTGGCTTGCCTGTGTTCGGGGAAAGTACAAAAGAAACCATTACAGAGCAATGAAGCTATCTGCTGTTGACTAAAAAAGAGTGAGTGATTTGTCCGCTGTTTGAGAATCGGAATTGGTTGGCGAATAAACTTGGGTAGTTCAAGTGTCAATGCTATCATTTTAGGCAGAGTAGAAGTAAAAAATAAATCCTTTTCAACTTCAGAGTAACAATCATCGATTAACGTCCTTAGCACATTAAAGCTCATTCTTGCCATGGAAGGGTTGTAATCTTTAATAACAGCAACTAGCTCAGTTGATGTTTTGATTTTAGAAGATGTAAGCACTTTAACAATTTTGGTCCATTGAGAAGATTCGATTATTCCTTGTTTCGATTGATTATCGACACTGAAAGGCATTTTTACATATTCTTTTGTTGATGAGTTTGATGGGGTTGAGAAAGCTGGATAAGTAGATGACAATACCCATGCAGACGCTGTAGGTGACCAATTATACACAAACCGTACTGGATAAGGTTTAGGTGGACCATCGTCAGGTAATGGTATTTGATAAAAGATGGTTTTATCGGATGATGGTCTCAACTCACCAAGGGAAGCACAACAATCAGGTTCTCGATTGAAACCACAATCTGATTGAGCTGAACAGACACTCATATTTTGAAGAGACGAGCTGGTGAAAGACGCAACAATCAAAACAATTGCATGTCAAACGACATAATGTAGTTTAGTCCTTTGAAGCTAACTGTAGAAGCAAAACTCGACGAGAAAGCGAAGATGGATTTAGATTTAGCTCTAAAATTTTAAAAAACTGAATATGTAAGAATAAGATTGATCAAAGTGTAAAAATAATTGTTGTTGATAAAAGGAATGAAAGGATTGAAAATTCGTCTAATTCAACACATTAGTTCATAAAAAATCAGATGTTAATCGGTTTCAAACTTGTCGCGGAAACTGCCATCTATTGATTTATTCGCGAATGGGATATCCGACTTTATCATTGAATTGTGTTTAATTCACCTAAATTAAAACTTTACAACTCGCAATTAATTTTGATAATCACTTAAGAAAATAAAATGATTTTGATTAGATTTCAAAATTCTGTGTTATGCTAATCGATTGATCGAATGAACAAACTATAATATCGATGATTTCCAGCTGGTAACTTTAAAATGACAATAAGATTGGGTTACTGTTTTTATCGCCTTTAAAGTCGAGCTACTGTCATCTCGATATGGATTTATTAATGCAACTATTTTATAATGTTTGATTAGCTTACTTAAATAAGGGTTTTATATATTCTGTGTTAGGGTGATTGTATTGTCGAAATGAATTTTAAATTATCTGAGTTTATTTTATTAGTGATTGCTCTTCAGCCAACCCTTTCGGCTCACGTTCATTCACATAACAAAGGTGAGATCTTTTTTCCTAAATTGACATTGTCAGTCTATTTATCACAAATTTTGGATTAGATTTTTTGCTCTATAATGATTATTTGATAATTTACTTTGGTAATCGTTTTTTACAGAGAGGGTTGATGATGGTTTTGGTAGTGTAAATCACTTTGCAACTGATGGATCTCACAATTCTGAATATGATCATCAAGCGGTCTTAGGTAGCAAGAAAGAAGCTGCTGAATACGATGAATTACCTCCAGAAGAATCTCAAAGGCGATTAAGAATATTAGTTACTAAAGGTGGCATGGATGCCGATACCGATGGATTTGTGTCAAAAGAAGAATTGACTCAATGGGTATTTAAATCTTTCGAGTCGCTGGCTAGTGAAGAAGGAATTGAAAGTTTCAATGAGGAAGATACTAATAAGGATGGATATGTTTCTTGGGATGAACATATAAATTATAATTTTGAAGCTGATGAATTACAATTTAAAGATACCAATGAGATGATCCATGAAGATAAAATTTTATTCAAAGCAGCTGATATAAATAATGATGGCAAATTAGATGTTACAGAGTTTCCTGCCTTCAATTCACCCGAAGATTTTGTTTCTATGCATGAAGCTTTATACCAAATAACGATGGAAAAAAAGGATAAAAACAATGATGGAGCTCTTGATTTCAGTGAATTCATTCGAGATGAAAGAGGTGGAATACCTGAACCGAAATCGGAAATTTATATCATTGAAAAGGAACGCTTTTCTAAAGACTTTGATCTCGATAAAAATGGAAAACTTGACAAGAAAGAGACTCTTCTTTGGCTGGTTCCAGACATTAGGTAACTATTTCTTTGTTCTGATTAATTACTTGAATTGGTTATCAATTATATATGTTTCTTCTTAGGATATTTTTTTAGGAACAATATTTGACTATTAATTTTTGTAAATTTCTTGATTCTTACAGAGAAACCGCAGCTTCTGAAGCTGACCATTTATTAACTACATGTGATGATGATGGTGATGGCAAATTATCTGTAGAGGAAATTGTATCCCATTACGATGTTTTCGTTGGAAGTGAAGCGACAGACTTTGGTGACCATCTACACAAAATTAATCCTCATGACGAATTGTAACGTTATTTAGAGATTTAATCTACTTAACGTTAACGGAACGGATTATCAACAGAAGCTGTGACCCAAAAGCATTACCTCAGTCCGGTCAAATTTTAAATGGAAACTGTCAATTACTTCTAGATATTAACCGTCAAGGATGAACAGGAAAGAGTGATGACAACAATTAGTTTACCCATTTATATTTCCCTAATATTCTTAATCATATTAACACTTTAGATATGAGCCCAATTAATGTCACTTAGGTATACTCTGCCATAAGAAAATTAAGTACTAATTCAAATTAAGAAATTGAATTGTTACTCATTACATAAGTTTCAAAAAATATTCCTTTAGATGACATATCTAACTAAATTTTACTTACAATATGTGCCATGAGCTACTCCGATCATTTTAACAATTTAACCTGAATGCCATTTATACCAATTATTAATCTATTGTAAATATCATTCTTAATGAGATCTGTACTTCTTTATTATTCAACTATAGTAATTATTAAACGAAACAATCACTTTCAATTTGTATGTCTTTGTTGATTAAAAAGCCTCCTAACAACAAAATCTGTCCACCATTGTCAGAATAAATCATGTCTTTAGCTTAACGTAATCCAATTGAGATGGACATTGATCCACTTTATCCTTTGACCGTTGATTATTTCACTTCCCCTGAAATATGGCAACTATTCGAAATCTTTATCTGGCAACTGATCATGGCCAAGATCGGGAAAAATCGCACCTTTGTTTACATGCAGAGACGCTATGAAAAGGTAATTTGTTGCTCTTTTAATATCTTCAATTAATTTCAATATTTCTCTTCTCAATTAGCCACCCATTAATGAACCAGCTTTAATATTGTTATTAACTGTCTTTACTATTTCCTACATCATATTGATAGTAGATGAGTGGATAGGAATAATTAGACGAGGTGACCGATTGTTTCCTAATTTTGCGGCTCTTGCGCGAAAATTGTTGGTACCACTTCCCGATGCTTTAAGGGAACGTCAAGTAGGATTTTTCAATTTCGGTGATCCCGACCCCGAAGATGACGATGAAGATTAAATTGTGTATTATAAACTCTCTGATCAAAGAAATAAATTCAATTGTTACCTGATTCTCATTGTCTTAAGATACAGTTTGAGAGAGTAAAATTAACTCGGATATTTATAATTGTTTAAAGGATATTTTTCATCAGTGAGATTGAGCTTTTAAATTAAATGTTTTGTGACTTCAATTGTGATCATCATGTAAATTAAATATAGACAGATTTTGATATCTATTTTAACATCAGTAGATTTTTACAAAAGCTTTTTTTCCAGGTTGATAAATTGGGTGAAATAATTGAATAGATTAGAATGCGCGAAACTTCCGAACAAATTCAAAATTATTAATGATGGTTTAAATCTGGAAATGAATTGTAATTAAAATATAATTTGATTCAGTAGCTAATAAGGAGGATAATTTGTATTGAAATAAACGTAGAAAATATTTTCAAATGAAATAAGGAAATTAAGAGTAATGTACTGATCAAGGTTGAAATTATGATAAAAAGGATTAACGATGCCTGGCTGATATTTGATGTCATCCAGACTTTGATTATAAAGATGCAATACAAATAAATTAGTCAGAAATCACGAGTGAACTGAAAATAGAAATGTTGACTAAATTAAATAATTTTGCAAAGCATGATAAAATCCAATGATAATTTAAAATGATTAGATCTACTGATGGTGGAAGTGATTTTTCCCAGATTTTATGATTCAATGTCCATTTTTATATGGATGAGATTGAGTTGACTTGTTGAGATTTGGCTCAAGAGATTCAGCTAGATACTTGAGGTTTGCATCTCTTTAAAATGAAGTGAAAGACTGGTCACTTCATCACGTAGACTAAAATTAATAGTGGGATGAGGAAGGTCTGAGTGACAGTTTTTTGGTTAAATAGGCGTAAGTTTTAAATTAATTAACTTGCTTTAATTTTCATCTCAAAAGTAACCTATTGAAAATGGTGAGAGAGAATGGGAAAGGAGGAGGTAAGGGTAAGGTCGAAATGAGAAGAAAATGGAAAACAAAGAGCGTGCGATCGTAGAAATGGTTTGGTTAGTTGTAAAGCAAGAATTCAAGAAAAGTGTCAGAGCTGGAAGCGAACAAGATCTTAAGTCCAATCATCCGCAATATCCTCAAATATTCATCTTTTATCAAATGGTCTATTTTCTTAGTTGATCTCTAACTTAGCCTTCAATCTCATTAAGCTGAAGTTTAATTTTACTGCATTGCATAAAGCCGAGTCCAGTCCCGAGCTGAAAGGTGAAAGCGAAAGAAAATATCATTAGAGAGTTGAATGCTAGAAATTGACACTACTCATGCAGGTCGAAATAAAAAGGTAACACAATGTATATTCAATTTGCAAGGCTCACCTGTTTTAATAGCTTCGGTTTCATTAACTTTCCATTGCTCGGCAACATCATTTGCCAATGGATCATCTGGATTTGGAGCAGAGAGAAGAGCTTGAATTGATAATAAAACGGTGCGAATCTGAAGAGCAGGACTCCATTTATCTTTAAGTATATCCAAACAAATTCTTCCCAATTTATCGATATTAGGGTGATATATTTTAGTCATAAATCTAACTTTGGGAGCAGACATAGGATATTCCTCAGGTAGGAAAAGCTCTAATTTAAATACACCACCATCAAAAGGTGACTGTGAGCAAAAAGAAAGAATAAACGGTTAGATAAATGAGACAACACATTCTGATTGCAGGTAAGGACGATGAGAAGATGTAGCTAGACAGAATGAACTTGACTCAAATCATACCCCTTCTGGTCCAGCAACTACAACATGAAAATATCTAGCATTATGTTCATCAGGAACTGCACTAATTCCAGGTACAGGTTCAGCCATCAGTCTTTGGGTTTCCTAAAAATGGTGAAAGGATAGAATAAAGAAAAAGAGTTTAGAATAGCCATAATGTAAGTGTGAGGTGAAGTAAAAGGAAGAAAAGAAAGAAAAAAATTATGTGAATAAAAGGGAAGAAAGAGAAGAAAAAAGGGAAAAAAGATGATGAAGACGCAACAAAACACAACCATTCACAGCAATTTTGATTTTTGTTTAACAATTCACTTGCCTTGATTATTCTTCTTGGTAATGCTGACATATTGAGATTTAATTACACTATTTAACCTTTAGTCCTCTAACTTAATTTACTGTAAAACAGAGACAGTTAAGAAAGAAAAAACTTGTTACAGACCAATTTATCAATAAAAACACAGAAAGTAAAATGATTTGCAGCAATAACAATCTGAAAAGATTTTATTTTGAGTTAACACTAACAGATGGCTCTATATGTTTACTAATATTTTTTAAAAGTTAATTTCTGCAAATTTTTTCTTTTAATCTAATTTAAATTAAATCAGTTCTTATGTTTTGATGGTGTTTTAATTTACATACGGATAATCTGTGACCTTATAATTTCACTAAATAGTAAGATCTTCATTTATTTGTGATTGAAGCAATCAAGGTAAGTCTTGATTTTTCAATGTTTCCTGGAATATGTAAACCAGAATTTTAACAAACATTGCTTGAAAAATTTACAGAAATTTACATGAGTATAGTAAACTATGTTTCTTTTTCTCATCCTGAGCTGAATATTTATTGTCTAACCTAAGGTCTTAAATTCAAGACGAAAATTTAAGATGTAAACGATGAATGAAATAATACAAAAACAATTAGGAAATCGAGACTGGGAACCATTTCTTGAAAGGAAGAAAAGCAGTAAATCCATTCGAGTCTATGATCGATATGATTATCGTTTTAACTGTTCAAATTTTCCCTTTCAAAGATAAATTAAAGATGTATTTAAATTTTCAATGTTTTACTATTAGTACAAGATGTATAAGATTTGGTTATCCTTCATCTTTTGTTTTAAGATGAACGACAATAAATAATCAGCTGCGCCTTACGTTTAATTGAAATGGATTCAATGAAATTTTTATCAAAAACTTGAAAATTCAATTCCACGACTGATTCAATTATTGTATTTTAATTGAAAATAAGCTTTCTCTTTAGCTGTTGAACCAATTTTATTGTATACTCTAATCGAGTTATCTAATAAAGTCTAAAACCATCTTGATTTATACCATTACTGGGTAAACGGCTACTTCAATCCTATAAATGGATGATCTAACTCTTTTTAAATGCAACCCATCTAATCACTTTCTTTAATTGTATTTCAGATTGTTGTGTCTAAATACTCTGTCCATCATGAAATTGTCTTTCAATGCTTGTGATAATCGTCATCATACATCTTGGTATCAACTAAATGGATCGTCTCTGGAGTAGGAATCAACAACCAATTTTCAAATGGACAATTTCAAGCCGTCACATCACACATTATTAATTTTAATTTTCAACAAACTCCAAAGCTTGCAGCTGTATGAAAGCTTAATTGACTATTTGGACCATCTTTCACCAAATTATTCAATTATAATGTATTATTGATGATCTGGTTGTGTTCACGTTGGGCCATCACAAAATGACTTTACCAGATTCCCTGCTAACCCATTTGGACCCTTCCTCTTGGTTTCTGAAAATCTCGATTTCTTTGTTCAATCAAGTCTATCAAGTTTATAAATATAATTTTATGGATGATTATATGTCTAATGTGTTGAAATTTAATGTGTGAAACCAGTAAACATGAAAATTGTCACCAATATTCTCTTTGAATGTAATTAGTCAATTTGGTCATTTTGTTATTAATCCCACTTGTTTAACTCAATAACCAGTTAATTGACTATCGGCAGACCATTAATAATGCACCAAATCACCGAGGTAAGTAAACATAATTAAATGCATGATAAGTTAATGATAAGCCTGTGAATAAAATGTCCCAACCCTGTATCCAACCAAATCCTGCATGGTTAAGCTTTCATACTGATTCTTATTTTTCTCATTGTAACAGCTCAATAATATCTGGCGATTCTGATGATCACAGTTGCTATTAATTGAAATTAAAGGACGTGGAATACCAACGTGAAGGTCAACTCTGATAACCATTTAACCATTACAATTGGATGTGCAAGTCTTACAATTGAAATAACCATGAAGGCTAACCAAAGTGTCTATCCAAGTCTCCATTGAAAGTGAAAGCATATCGAAATGATGTAGACCAGTCAATCTTATTTTTATGTTAAATAGTTAAATTGTTTACAGATGAGATGCTTCATGATTTAAACATTAAGCTTTCTTAATTTCTCTCAATCATGTTCACATAAATTAACAGTATTGAACACGCAATTAATAATTTTACCTGATATTAATCATTCAATTCAATTGCAATCTCTTCTCTTCTCAACTGATCTCGTTTGACCTCTCAGTTGCTGTTCAATATCATCATGGCTGTCATCAAATTTAATAATCATTCATAGCCAATTTGATTGAAACTAAAGGTTGATTGAGCATTCATAAAGTAATTTAATTTAAATTAGATAGAAATATAATTGATTAATGTTTTCGCTTATAAATAGAAATGTAAAAGTTAAATTGTAAACAATCTTACCTTTTTGATTTACTATTGTTTTTACATTCTTCTTGGAAATCACAAATTGTTGTAAATAAATTCATCTTAATCATTATTAACATAATCAATTTTCTTTCCTTCTTTATAAATTTAACTTTAAAATCATCTTTCTTTTTACTATTAATTATGAAGGTCTAGTTGGGCCTCAATAAGCTACAATTTAAATTGTGACCTCGAATTAGGTTAATGAAGTACTTTGTCAACTGACATCACCATTAATTAATTAACATCGTTAACTTGGCTAAAGATAATCAAATGAATTTTAATAAAACTCTAATAATTGAAACAATTTGATGAACAATTTGGGTTTTCTGGTAAATTGGAAGGAACGCCATCTTAAGGGTTAAAAAGTCACAAAAGGTTTGTTTACAATGTTTGTGACTGGTTTTGTTAATCTTATTGGAGTATTTAAAGTTGGTTAATTAAACGTTTTAATTGCTCATTTTACGGTTAATTTATTGTTTATTGCTAAGGTAAACCTGCATTTTGGCAGCATCAATTTCAATGTTTCAATCTTCATCCGGTTAAACTGTTAACCTGTTGTGAAAACAATTTGTGCCTGAAAGCCTTGGAAGGCATTTTTTTGTTTTACTGTAAACAATTATCCATTGGTGGTATAATTATTGGATATATTGGTGAAGAATTAGATTCTTGTTCAAGTCGCACCATTAGATGATGAACATTAATATGTTTGGTACTTGATGTTAATATTTGTTTAGATTGAGATGAAACAACCATTAGTCGATCAACCAACTAAATTGATTGGACTTTTTACTACTACTTTACTTGATACTCTCAAGTTTTTCATCTGCAATCATTGACTCAGATAGATTGTCAATCAACTTGTTACCTAGTGCTTTTATAATGAAATGAAGGTTAAAATAAAAATATACCTCTTTCATGGTGATTTAGCACTTGGTTTGCACCTTTCAATGGTCAATCAGTCATGAATCAGGATTCAATTTCTTCTCCTTATTTATAATCTCTGATTATCTCCTTGAATTGCGACCATTGAAATTAATCTATGTTGGAAACTGATGATTGATAATTTGTTGAACTTTGATCAAGATTGAACATTATTTTGTTCACAAAAAAAAGTGTAAGTGATGAACAATTAGATGTCTGTTTAGGGGCAAATTCCCGTCCAAATGTACACAGTTTGCAACAGTTATCTTCTTAAGGGGATAACCAGAAAATCAATAATCACGATGAGCTTGATTAAGATAATAACTTCAACTTGATTAATCAATCAAATTTAGCCCCAGAATACTTAACCTTACTTTGGACCAACTATTATTTCCTATTGTGAGTGTATGGCAACAATTAAATCTAAAAGACCATTAAAGGTTTATATCATTGCCAACAAGGTAACGTTATACAAGATATATCAACATTTCCTGTTTTTCAATACAACCTTTATCATTATCACCAACAAGATTACCTAATAAATACATTAACAATAAGTTTCACTTTCATTGTGACTCCAGAATTATCATCAAAATTAACTAGAAACAATTACAAATTAAATTGAAACTTGAATCGATTTAACGAAAAAAGTAAAACAAAAATGAAACAAATCTCTTTGGTTGTACAGGTTAAGGAATAGTGTGAGATATAACATATTCGATTAGTTACTACACTGACCTTTCAAAGTGAATTTACTTTTTTCTTATTTCTTAATTTTCTCGCCATTGTTTTAATTTGTGTTTATATACTTTAATTGGTGAGCCTTTGGACAGTTAATTAATTTATCTACCAAGTTTGACATTTACCATTTACAATTGTTAACATTTAACATGAACAATTGTAATTTAGTTTGGAGATTTGGTTAGTTTCTTTTCCGTGTGTTACAAAAGTAAAAGGAAAATCACTTCACACAATTATATTGTATATTAATCTTTTATTTGGGGATTTCCTAAAAATTGAAACCATTGTCACCATAAGGGCCCTTGTATATCAGAGTTACTCTCACTCTTAACATGATAAACATCATCGTTTTTTCATCTTTTTCACCATCATGATCACAGGCTATATTCACAATCTATTCATAATCTCATAATGGATGAATGCCTTTGACCTAAAATGTAAAATTTTATTTCTGTGTTATTGATACAAACTGTTATTTAGTTCATTGTGAATTAACAATCTTTAATATTGAAATTTGGATCTCAGTGAATCTAGAGTTTAACCATCAATCCGATTGACTTGATGACGATCTTTAATCGTTAATTTACTCTGCTCATTAAATTGTTTACCTGTTTACATGTGACAATGACAATGAAAACAAGAAAAAGACGACTTCTATCATTGCTTTTGATTACAATTGATTAAGTTTCACCTTTTCCGGGTTTACCGTTCTCTCCAAGGTAAACTGGATGACTAATAATAAGTTTAATAATAAAAAAAATGAAATGAAAAAGTAAACAATCAGCTAAATCAAATAACAATCAAAGTAATCGGCCATTGTAATATTTACAAGTTTTCCCGAGTTAAATGAACTGTACTGAGCAACAGGGAATAAACAAGAAATTAAGTGAAAACAAACACTAAAATTGTTACAATTTATGAACACAAATTGATTATCCTTTTGAATGAAATAATGTGATCCAAAAGACAAGAGAAATTACTAGATAATTGATTAAATAATGGTGAAAACGACAGTAAAATATATTGGTTTCTGATTGTTGAATGGGAAATGAACGAGATAAAGAGTACAACAATTTACAAGGTAATTGTCACTTTAGGTTAGCATGGTGATTGTTAACCCTTATCCAATACTGTAATTGAAATTAAAATTTGTAACAATTACTGTAGATTACACTAATTATGGATAAAGTAACCATCATAAATGCATCTACGGTTGACATTCATAACAATTTTAAGCAAGGTGGAAGGTGAGAAGATGGAAAACAGAGAACCGAGAATAAGAAAGTTGATATTAGAGATTTATCAGTGGAAACATTTCCTGGTATATTCAATAAAAAGATAATCAAAGGTCATTGACTGATGAGCTTATCATCATCACAAGATTCCATTGGGATGACAAAAATGAAGCAGAAAAATACAGAAATGAAAATAGAGATTAGACGAGGAGTAAAAAGTGAAAGTTGAATGTAAAATAATGATAACCAACAACAATCAAGCTTGAGCCTGAAGATTCATTGTGATTCTATGTTTGTTTCATCAATTTTGCTTTTCTATTATCTCCAGGTTCTCTCGACTCTACGAAACTCCAAATTGTCCTCAACATTAACTTGATCTTGTTCAACACCACTTGGTTCCATTATTCCGTTCCTTTGGCAACTAATCAAAATGATCACTGTATAAAGGTCTAACATCAAGTTTTCACTGAATGTAAAAGCCTAATGATGACGACTTTTCCAAACCATTTGATAGAACGATTTTATTTTACCAGAATCACTTGTTTACTTTGCCTGTTCATTTGTTGTTTACCTGAAATAATTAGAGAAAGAAGAAGCTCTATTTAATATGAGGTATTAAAGAGAAGAGAAGAAAATTTTTTCTTGTATATTATTATCAGTAGTTTCAAGGCCTCCACAGTTTTTACTCACCCTGAACCCGACACTTAACCTTGCCTTTCCTATCTCTTTGGGACACAAGTTACACCAGAATTTGGAAAATTCCCGATCCGTAAACAGGTCTTCACTTTTTAGATCTAACATCATTATCATTCTCAATAATGCAAACAACATCATTCACTTTTTTGCCTCTTTTTTTTGGCTAAACGTTATCATTTTCTGCAATCTTATAATCGACTGGCTACCAAATCAAGTTCAATCGGTAGGAGATCCCATGGAAGGACAGGTCATGAAGAATCAAATTTAGCATTGACTTTGACTCGGATAGAGTATGGATGGAAAGTTAACAGCTCGTAGATGAGTTCCTGAATTCACGTAATAGTCAGTATTTACCTTGAAAGTACGTGCAAAGAAAAGAGAAAAATTATATAATTAAATAAATAAACAAGACCAATTAACAGTATTTCGAGGTCAAAAAGACGATAATAATTCAACCTCATGTACAACAAAGTAATAACACACTGATAGCAATAAAGGCATCAACAAATCTTGGCATTTGTACTGAATATTACCAAGTGAGTTAGCCTGTTAATCTACAGGTTATTATTTTCAGTGTTTAAACTGTTTTTTTACCTGTAAATTACTGTATTAAACTATGGTTTTCCAATAGCTTTTTCATCGATAATCAGTTGTGTTTCAATAAAAAAAGGATGCAGCATATGATACCTAGATTGTTAAGAAAGAGAAGAGTATAATTGTGGAAACGGAAAACAATTAATGGAACGATAATTATCTTTATAAATGTTAAAAAATTGATTAGATGTCAATAAAATCACAGATTTGAAACTTACCTGTAAGATTAATCAGCTTCCGCATTCACTTTGCACTTGACTTTGTGATTTTTAATGTTTTCTTCGATTTACTTCCCAATGATTTTCACCATTAAAGGTTGTGTAGATTTTAATAGTTTATTGAACATTGTTCAACAACTATTATTCACCCTGCCAAAGTCTATTCATATTTCCGAACAATGGTCAGAGTACAAACAAATGCATGTAAATGGTAAAATTACACTTCAACATTTGCATTAGTTGTTTACAGCTGAAAAATCATCCGTTTGAAAAATAATTCATTAAACACTATACTTTGAACACACACAATCAAAATTCAAGTTGAAACTTTCTTAAAATTATCTAATAAACGTAATTAATTAACATAAAACATTATTAACAAAGAGAAACGGATCAAAACAAAAGGCTTTAAGACAATGCAGGCTTTGCTGGAAAGGCTAAGCCATTTCATTGTTAGCTTAAAAAGCATAATGGGAATCAGCCGATGAACAAAATGGTTGATTTATTATTAATTGATACAATTGAAAAGATTCATGAGTGAGAAAATTTCCTGTAAATTATTGAATCTAAATAATTAAATTAATCTGATTTAAAACTTTAAAACAGTTCTATTTAAGAGTAAATCTCTAAAAAGCATCGGCTATCATCTGATTTTCTTGGGTTTAACCAATTGCATAAATAACCGGGAAAAGTGGAAGAACCAAAATGACCGATTATATTTGAATTAATGCAATGTTTAATTTATTTTTTGATACATCTTGAATTTTCATTGATCAAAGTAAAATTACAGAATTAAAAGAATGATTAATAAAACATTAATCTCGATGGTTAAAATGATTAAATCATAACCATTAGAGTTGCAAGTATTATACAAAATGAAAACACGTTGTTTATCAAAAAACCAGGGACAGACAAGGTAAATTTATTAGGCTAAATTATGAATTGATTAATTATTTTGTGATCAAGGTATGCGATTAAGTTGATCAAAATGGGATCATTGGATTTAATAAAATTCAACGGAATTTTTCCAATTTTAGATTAGTTGAATCAAAATTAACTGAGGAAAAGTGATGGTGATGATTGGGAAGTTGAATCAAGTTAAAAAGGTGAAAACAAAATGATTAACATTTCAACTGTTATTAAGAGTAAATTAAATTTGCTTCTTAATCAGTGAATTAGAGCGGGTTTGCAGACAGTTGAAAAAGCAGTTTAGTCTAATCTGTAAATCATCAACACTGGCTATTCAATAAAATGCCTTAGAATGATAAAGTAAGGAAATGTAAGGTAACAGTAAGAATCATTTCTGTGTTGAGGAAAAATTTGAGCTTCAAATTGAGCTTGACCGGGACAAGCTTTTTTCCACCACTTTTTCAATCTCTTTCGTATTCTTTCGTCCATCACTTGAATTCAACACAAATATCATCATCATCTATCCGAAAAGCGGTGAACAATTCGGTGAATGTATTAGATTTGGGTGATGGACAGTACGGTGAAAAAGGTGATTGTAAAAGAGATTGAAAAATGTGGTGGAAAAAAGCTGGTCCCGTTTGACCCTGAAGTTAATGATGAAGATGATAGTCGAGGGTCAATTAGTGATATAGTCCAGAGTAGAGATAACTGAAATGAAAAAAAGAAACTGAATTATGTTGATTAGCTGTATAACTGATGATTTTAAAGATCTATGAATTTTGACTTTGTTTTGCTTTTCCATCTTTTCTTTTAGCAAAACAAAATTAAATTCAAGACAATTTAAAAAGCTAAATATACAACGATTAATGTACATTAAAAGGTAAAGTTGTTTTACCTGTAATAATCAAGGACAGGGATAGAGAGTCAAGAAGTATTGAAGGACTTGCCAGTTGATCAGGGTAATAGGCCATGAAAAATTGGATTCCCTATTTAATAATGATAATAATATGGTTTTAATATTATTGTAAATAATGATATTTTACATTTGCTTTATACCTTAGTCTTGCAATTGAATGTCATTCCTATGATGTGCAATATAAATACACGACTTGTGTAATGCTTAATGTCAGCCTGTGAACAATCGTTGCTGTTCAGTTTCCAGATGATTACAAACACAGATTAATCTGTTATGGGTTTCTTAATGGTTAGCTAAATCAAGCTTAGTCATTCTCTCATGATATTCATTTTTAGATGCGTAATTAAGCTTTCTTTCACTTTTTTTGTTGATATCATTACCAGTTGGAGTCTTTATTTTGTGTATTTGTCGTCAATGGCAATAATTAATTTCAATTTTGTTTCTGTCATCATCTCATTTAGCTTTTAAACAGGTCATTGGGTTTACTGGTCTCAATTGAATATTGATCATTTACCACAATTGGTGTTGCTGCTGCCTGTCTTTCCTTGGATAATCACTTTACATTCAAATTTTTGTCCATGAATTATGTATCAATGTGATCAATAGATTTCACTTTTTTTACGTTTTGTAAATATCATGCTAATAAATAATTTCATCAGGTTATTGTGTTCATGTTATCCATCCAGGCTGTTTGTGTGAAGGTTTAATATCATCTTTAATATTCACCTCGCCTTTTGTTTACGCTGAGGTAACAACGCGAACGACAATTATTACGATCAACAGTTGATACATTGATATTTGCAGCCAAGTTATGCATAACAAAATGTATCTCAACTTAAACCTGAACTTGTAAATGTTGACAATATTAATTGATAACAGCTTTTGACTCTCGGTTTTGAATTGAATTGAAAAATGAGAGCATACTTTGGCAGGCTTTTCCTCAAATTTTTAATCTTTCAAATCGCTTTAAGGTATATTGATAATTTGGATCACTCATCAAGATTTGTCCTTCATCACCTTAATCATCATCAATATCTTCCTCTTCTTAATCTTCATGATGCTCTCTATTGCTACACTTGTCTGCTTTTCCAATCCTCCGATGGTTTCTAGGTCTCATCTTGAATCTTATCGTAAATAAGCACGTAGTTCAAGGGGCAAAATCAATTAGATGTTCCGTCTATTTGCTATGTGAAACCTTTGTCGAGCTTAAATTTTGCTAATCCGAAATATGCGCTTCAATCTCGAAGTCGCAACGTCTGCTTTTCAAAACGTCTGCTTTTCAAAACGTCTTGTGGCATTGAAGATTACAAGATGTAAACAAAAGAGGCTAAGCATTTGAAAAGTAAAACATTCTGCATGATGACCTGTGCAAAAGAAAAGAAATAAGAAGATGAAAATAAATACAAGGAAGAAGACGATTATATCGAAAGTGAACTTACTAATGATCTTGATCAATTATTGTGATGGGTCATCCCATTAATAGGCCTATCAGCACGATAAAAAATGAAAGTTAATTTAATATTTCATCTACCAAAAGAGGACATCATCTTGATTAGCATTGATGAGAAGAATTATAAGTTGCCACCAGAAAAATATATATAAAAATACACAAAACAAGAGCAAAGTGAACGATGGCCAAACAAAAAGAAACAAATTGGGAAAGGTAATAAGGTAAGATGATTATAAATGGCAAGTCCAAGAGTACGGAGAGGCGAAGATTAATGTTAACAAGATTAACAAGATGATCAGCAGTGATTGTTATCAACCTAAATTGAATATGAAACATTTGAATTTAAAAAAAGCACTTTCAATTTTGACGGTTGAGAAAAGAATGAGATTATCCAATAAGAAAGCTAATCAATTCATTGGCCAAAAACATTTTGAAAAAACGAGAGCCATTTTCAAATTTTAATTTCTTCAAAATTATTTCTCTTATTATTCGCTTCTATCGTCATCATTACCATGCAAAGGTAAGGTCAAGTTTCGAAATGAATTTTGACGTGAAGATCAAAGTCAACCAAAATTCTGAGCGGATTAATGCGATTAACGAGCAAATGGTTTAGAGCAAAAATGATTATCTTTGTCCATTGACTATCGTCAAAAATTAATGCCTAAATAACCTAAGGCCTACCAAACGATAGGAATCAGGGTTCAAGACGAACAGAAGAAGGAAAATACTCTCAAGTAGACAGAGAAGATTTTCTCTTTCATTTTTTGATTTCACTTTCCCTTTCTTTTCTCTCTCTTCACCTCACAATTAAATAAACTAATTGCTCCTCCTATTTTCAGGGATTGAATGAGCTTTCAGAGGGATAGAGGCGTTGAAAGAGAGAAGAAGAGAAAGGAAAGAAGGGGAAGATAAGAAAGAGAAGGAGAGAGAGAGAAGAGATAAAACCAGAAAAGGCGAAAGAAAGAGAAGAGAGAGAAAAACAAATTGAAGTGTGAGCTAAGTGAGAGACTAACATTGATTAGAGATTCACATTTCCCCTCTCGTCTTCATCAACTTAACAATATTATAAACATTATTATGATCATCTCTCTATCACCTCTTCTTCGTGTTCATAGTTATCATTATTTGATTCTAACTGGTGTGACTGACTAGATTTGTTAATTTGTGTATCTACCTCTCGTTCCTAAGCCCAAATTAAATGTTACCAGTAAGCAAACACTCTTATTACACAAGTAACCACAAAAGTCCAAGTTTCTACATTCATCATAATCATTTATTTTTACTTTTCCCTCTTTTCTCTGTTTTCAATAAACAGTTGGTGTCTTCTGACTCTCTCAGTAATTTAAATACAATCATCACAGTGACATCAAAAGAAAACACATTTATTAAGAATGACACGTTTCGCTGGTAATTATCCAAGTCGCTCTCGAAATGGAAAAATTGAATTGCGTATTCTCAATCAACCCGAGGAGCAACATAGAGCCCGTTATTTGACCGAGGGAAGCCGAGGATCTATTAAAGATGGCACAGGATTGGGTCATCCAGTTGTTAAATTATTTGGCTTTAATGGATGCCCAGTTAAATTGCAATGTTTCATTGGACACGATAAATACATTGGTGTACCTCACTTGTTTTATCAAGCTTCTCGTATAACAGGCAAAAATTCGACTCGCTGTTCTTACAATAAAGTTGATGGTACTGCTGTAATAACCTTGGATCTCACACCAGAAAACAATATGCAAGCAACAGTTGACTGTATTGGCATTTTGAAAGAACGAAATGTTGATGTTGAACAGAAAGTTTTAAAATTAAAGTCAGCCAATGGCATTCAAGACGATGGACCAGCAATACCCTTGCCAAGCAAAAAACGTTGTGCAAAATGTCGATTAGTCTTTCGTTGCCGAATACCTGGTACCAATGAAGTTTTACAAGCAGTCAGCACACCGATACTCTGTACACAGCCTGTTGGTACACCAGAAATTTGTAAAATATCCCTCAACGAGTGTAAAGTCACTGGAGGCTCAGAATTATACATTATAGGGAAAAATTTTTTGAAAGATTCCAAAGTAATATTTAAAAGTGATAATTGGGGCAAAGTAGTAGAACCTGATAAAGAATATCTTCACTCGGTAAGTCATTATTATCATTACCTTTTATTTATTCTGATTTCATTTCTTTTAACGGCCCCTCTTCTCTATCTCTCTCAACAGTCTCACCTGGTTTGTACAGTTCCTCCTTACGATGGGCCAAACGCAGATCTTCCTGGTTATTTTACGGTATCCATTCGCATCCGGAGCGGCGGTAAATACTCCGATTCTCATATATTCACTTATGTAAATGAGTCTAAAGGTAAGACAATTCGTTAGCGTTTACAAATTACATCGACTTCAAAGTCCAGTTGTTGCTGTCACTATTCTTGCTTGTTGATACGTACATGAAAAAAAGGAGGAGAAATAATCTTAAAAAGATTAATCTTTATCATTGTTTCTCCTTTTTGAATAACCTGCTTGACCCATGACCCCACTGAATCTACTCTTAGGGTTACAATGATAGATAAATTATCTCCCCTCTAAACTGCAATACAAATGTAAATAATAATAATATAATAGGGAATAGCAGAATAGCGATAGATATATTTATCAATATGATCTCATTCAATATTTGTTAGATATTAGATTGTAACCTCTCAAGAGTCACCATTAGTGAGAAACAGGGATAAAAAAGGGAGAGAGAAACCAAAATGGAGACAGATTAACTGAAAAAGTAAGAGATGATTAAGAAGAGACACTAAATTGATAGTTAAACTGATAAACATTGAATAGTAAAGTAAAGCATTAAAAAAATTGCCTTCCTTGAAATCAACTAAAATTGATTCTAATTTTTGATTCTTTTTACTCATGGTCAAGTTAACAGTTCAATTCGATCAACAATTAACCCCTTTCCATTATAAATAATCATCTTGTCCAATCCAATCATCTGCCAAAAACACACACACACACATATACACTCAAAACAATTTTTTGTTTCGCTATTCCAACACGGAATTGTAATTTTAAAATAACCAAAAAATCCAAATCAATTGTGAAAAAAACTATTGTCAATATTGTAGCGAGTGTAGACCATTTTTATATCAACAATTTTTAACATTATTTTTTATCCATAGTTTTAAATTATAATTGTTTTATACGCAACCACAAAACCCATAATGATTCAATTAAATCAGTCGTCGTTAACTGGTTGACTTTTGATTTCTTTATTTCAAACTACGCGTTATAATTGTTACTAATTATGACTTTGACTTTACAGTTTGGTGTTTCGTCTTTGGGTGAGTTCTGTACATTTGATGGTCAATCAAAAGTTAAATTGTAATTGTACATGCAGTTGGTTAGTTAGTCAGTTTTGGATTAGTGATTTATATTTAGTGAATACAGTTTAGTTTACAATTGAAATTTTGGACAATTTTTCTTCATTTCTTTACTCCTTTTTCACAATTGTATCAACAGAATCAGTTTAGTATCTTTCATTTATTAATAGTTTTGTTTTGCACCATTTTTATCCAAGATAGTAATAGCTTCAGTCAGTAATAGTTCAGCATCATTTTCAGATACAAGATTCAGATTATTTAGATGATTTCAATTTCAATGAGACGAAAACAAATATACAACCACAAGACTCAACAAATGAAAACAAAATCACAAATCATTTTACAATTCAGAGTTACGATTGATAATTAATGTTTCGGAATAATCATTTATCCTGAAATGCTTGAGATTAGAGCTGTTTGTTTTATTAATTTCTCAGTGTGTAAATACAATTTCCTAACCATCATAATTCCTCTTTAATTATCATCATAATTAGTCTATTATCAGTCGACAAGTTTCCTTATCTTTAGGTTAGAAGAATTGAATTTAAGTTTCATTTATTTCTGATTAACTAGAACAAAGTAAATATTGAAATTACGATTTGAGACCAGTTTTTTGACTTCTTGTTTTTTTGGACTAGACAATTGTTGATCCATTGTTAGTATTGAAATGTCAGTTTCTGCTTAGTTTTTCATTTTAGACTTTTCACTTCAGGATAATTGAATCTCCGAAACTTAAATTTCAATCTAATCTGAGAAAATTTTTACCTGTTTTTTTTGTTATTTGTTCATGTTTGTCTTATTTGTCTTACATATGAATTTATATGTGTTTACACATCTATCATCGTATGAATTTTCCCAGTCCCGTTGATTGTCCCATCTTGTCTCTTGTCGATTCTCTCCCAATCTTTCGATTGTCCATTTCTCTTCTCTTCTCATCTTTTTCATCCACTCTTTCATTCCTCCTTTATCACCTTCTAATACTCCTTCTTAACTCATCTTTTCATCTACATATTATTCATTCCTTTTCTCTCTCATCATCATCTCTTTCTCTATACTTTCCTTTACTTTACTTCTTGCTATCTTTTCAAAGTCCATTTTCAGATCTTTGACCGATCGAACAAAAAACGATTTAATTGTCTTGATACATATAATTATGATTGTTCTTCTACCTCCATAGCCAATTCAATGCTACTGAGATCATTGCCACTCAACCACAGTAACAACATGAGTCACCATCAACAGCAACAGGCACAAATACAGGCTCAGGCTCAGGCTCAGGCACAAGCTCAGGCTCAGGCTCAGGCTCAAGCTCAAGCTCAGGCACAAGCTCAGGCACAAGTTCAAGCTCAGCTTCAGGCCCAGGTCCAGGTCCAAGTGCAGACGCCAACCCCAGTTCAAGTCCAAATTCAAGCCCAAGCTCAAGCCCAAGCCCAAGCTCAGGCCCAAGCCCAAGCCCAAGCCCATGCCCAGGTTCAAGCCCAACAACAACAACAACAGCAACATGGTTCACTCACTGGTACGCTTGGAAGCAATCATTATGGCGAGTTAATATCTGACCAACAGACAACCTTTTTTACTCCTTTTGGCGGCTCTCATGGTGATCCTATTTTAAATGGTATTAAACAAGAAGAGGTTCCTACGATGTGCCGTATAGACCGCGTTAATCATATCAACTCAACACCTAAAACCATAATTAATGCACCTGTTATGGCAATGGACAACGCCGTTCGATTCTATTCGGAAGATACTTTTCATTCATCTGACAGTTCAACCATATCGGAGCCAATTTTAGCTTCTGAAGATATAACAGAATTTCTTTCTCTTTTTACACAATTTTAACCAAAATCTTTCTCATTGACACACAATTAATGCTTCCCATTGTAAGTCAGAATTGAGTTTGGTTAGGATTGTCTTTTCATCCATATGTATATATTTATATATATAAATTTTCTTAATTTTTTGAAATTCACCTCAAAAAAATGAAGCCAGTATGGGCGATTTACAATATATACTCTATTTTTCGAGTATTTACTTTGTACAATTTTTCTCTTTAAAAATTGTTCAAAAGACATTTAATCCTTAAAACATAAACCTAACATTGTTTGATTATTTCAAATCAATGATTAGATTAAACTTTCACTTTACTATTCCTTTTCTGTTCTCAATACAAAAACAATTATAAAAACAACATAAAAAAATACATTTATACGATGTTTAACCGTGTTGCCAAAATTTGATGAATCGTGTTTAAAGCCAATATCCATTTAGTTACCAAGATTGAGATTAACAGATTGAACAAAAATCAAGGCTATTTTCACAACAATTGGACTCACAACAATGATTAGTAAATTCACTTGAAACAAATCAAGTTGTTACATTAAGATGAGAAACCGCGCCGCAAAGATTAAACAAGGATAATTCACTTAAAAGTAGACTCTTATAAATCCCTAAAAGCAACTCGTATCACTAGATAAGTAATGAAGAAAAAAAACAATCATGAATTAATAGATTTATCCACAAAAATTCAGGTCAACTTATCTAACAAAACAACAATACAAATGAAAACAAGAAATGAAAATGAAAAAATCTAAACAACAGCACCATCTAGTGAACCGTTTTAAATATCAAAGTACTTTTGTTGATCACTAGATGTCCCTTTCAATCTTATCCAATAAACTGAAAAAGGTTTGACTTTGAATGATAAACTTGTACATGGAGTGAGTGAGATTGGAACTGAATTGAGAGGCAAACCGAATGGATGAAAAAGTAAATGTAATCAGGAGAAATCATTTGAAACCATGAGGTTTGCCATGCCAACTAGTATAATCTTAAATGTTGTAAAAAGGCCCAATTTGTTACTCTATTCAAGTTTAGCGTTTTTCACCGTTACCCTGTTAATATCCAGTGTACAGTCTCGTCGTCGTCCAACCATCCAGATTGGTACAACATCGGCCAGCCTGGCTTCAACACCAGCAACTACCTCAACTCCAGGCCAAAGTTTACCCTCATCATCATCATCCATACAACCCATACCAGTCAATGGGTCTGCATCAAGTATAACCTCACCATCACTGGACCATCCATTTAACCAAGTGAACCCAATTTTACCCATTCACCGGACAAGTTCAACGGGCATTCAAAAGATAGTCTTTGGTGCCATCCTGCCAACCACCATATTGAAAACGTTGGCACGCAAGTACAATAAAACTTTACAAGATGCGGTCGATGCTTTAACCAAAGGCCGTGATCAACACAATTTCATCAATTACTTTGAGATTGCCAATGCAAATGTTGTTCTTATGCCATTGAATCCTTCACCAACCGATGTTTTGCACAACTTGTGTCACCATTTACTTCCAAATGGAGTTTCAACCATTTTTTACATGACAAATTCCGACACTTATGGAACCAATGCTGCTGCTACTCAATATTTAATGCAATTAACTGGATACCTTGGGATTCCAATGATAGCCTGGAATGCTGATAACATGGGCCTTGCTCAGGTAACAAGTTGATCCTTTTTTCCCATTCCTTCAAACTCATTTTTGCATGACAAACAAAACACTCAACTTGGTCCAATTGACTGACTGACGAACTCTATTAATTTTCATCTTCAATGAATCTTGAATCTTGAGATTGAAAAAAGCTATTACTTTGGATTTCAGCTCTTTTTTTAGTCAAACTCATCAAAAAAAAGAGTAAAATAAAAAACATGAAAAAATGTTGAATCAGAATTTTCAACCTTCTTCTTTCCTTCGTCTTCTTCATCCCTTCATCACAAAGCTTTTCAAATCTTTTTCTTTTTTCCCGTTTTTTCCATGATTATCATGATTACCATGAATCTTTTGCTTTTCTTGTCAACTCTGTTTTTCATTTCTTTCTTCTCTCTTTTTTCTGTTCCATTCCATATCCACTGAGAATTCACATGATACAGTAGGAAACAATTGACAATCTGAATGTTAATTTGTCCATCCAAATGCAAATGCCTTTAATACAACACCAAATCTGAAAATGTAAACTTGAACAGATTGATTAATTGTACTGTTTAGGTTGACTAAATGGCTTCAAGTAAAAGGTTGATTGTACAAAGTAAAAGGATAATTGAACTTTTATCAGATTAATTGTAATGAAACAACACATAAACTAGAACTATTCAGAATATAATCTTTTATCGTTGACCAAAGGCTGACAATTTGCAGGTTCAAAGATTCATTTGGGAAACATTTAAAGTCACCTTGGAACAACTTTTGGTGTTCATTTTCAATGATGATTCGGATGATGATAAGGTTAAAGATTTACGTTGGGAGAAAAAAAATGTTCCATGAAAAGGCAGAAAAATCTCCATTCCAAATGAATCCAATGATAATTGTGTTCAATTTGTTTCTCATCACTGTTTACCTCGACCGATTCAACCAAAAATCAATCTCTCTCTCTGACTTGCTCTTAAATCTTTAATAGTCATCACTTTTATCATCATCATTACCATCATCTTAAAACATGATCTTTAACCTTTCTTCAATGTTTCTCATGTTCCAAAGAATTGATTCCTTCTCTTGGCCTTTCTTCACCCTTTTACCACTTCAACTGTTTACGTAAGGCTAAAGTCTGTTATTGATTGAAGGGCTTGTTAGTGTTTCATCAAGGCTTAGGATTCCCTATTAAACAGTATCACGCTGATAAACTAACTTGTTTTTTAATGTACTCATGAGAATTGATTTAGATTAACTCGAGCCCAGTTTGCATTCTTGGAGTTTTCCCTTTTTCTCCTCTTCTTTACCATGTTGCCTCCCTTTCAAATGTCTATGAATTTTCATGAGAAATGGAAAGGTTTTTTTCTCCTTCTTCTTCTTGCTTTACTGGGCTTTTGGTTCCTTGGCTGGCTGGTGAAAAACTAGTTGAAAGGATTGTGATTAGGCAAAATGTTTTGGTTAAACGGAACAACGTTTGAAAGTCAAAGATGAAGAGGCAAAGGAGTTGGGATTGAACAACAGGGAAGGCTCACAAAATCAGTAAACCATTGATAATGGAAATGGAAATGAGCCAAATATCTGATTTTCTTTTTTCTTCTCTCTCTTCTCATTCCTTCATCATCATCATTTTCTTCGTCTTCTTCATTTTCATGATGGTGATGCTAAACAACAAGCATTGATGTTGGAAAGTCAAGTGAAATCAGATAAACTAAAAGTACAGTTATTATTGGTTTCTTTTTGCATCTCATTTTTGGGCCTTTACTTTCAAATGTTAACCAATTGTTTACGAGTTTACGTTTGTTTTTTTTCTTCTTCATTTCGTCTTTTCTGCTCTTCTTTTTTTTCACTTCTTCAACCAATTTACATGATAGCAAATTGACGAGGTGAAACTTGGTGCAAATGCATCTGTCAAAGAGGAATGAAAATTGCATTAATGCGATTGTACAAAGTTGACTTTAATACACAATGACAAGAGAAGAGGCATTTTAAGAGCGATTATTAAATGCCTTTAAATTGCTTCAACGACAACAATTGTAAAGTTTACATTATTTTTCTGTTCTATTTGAAAAATTGAACTTCGATAAACCAACTTTTACTTTCAGGTTACAAATTTTGATCAAATCAGTCAATCGAATAGGCCTGTTGAATCTTCAAATTTATTAATAGATTTCGATTTGACTTTGAACAAATCAAATGGTAAAGTAAACTTCAAAACAACTTTAGATTTGCGTTTTAAAGTTCATCAGCAAGTAAAAATATCTTCTGAAAAGGACAAGTCGAATGAGATAAGCAGGGATTGAAAATGAAAAAAATCGAAGTTTTTTCAAGAATTTTCAACCTTCGAACAGTGGAAACAGTTAAACTCTAATCCAAAATGATTCAGAGATCGATCATGTGAAAAGGAATTTTTCACAATTTTATCTAACATTTTCTTCTGATCTAAGGTAAGGTTTTGGTCTTTCGAATGCTGGAAACATTGAAATCTTATCGTTAATGAACTCGTTCTGTTTGCGTTTCACCAAAAATTCTCAATCTCTTTACCTACAAAATGAATATAAAAGTCTCAAGGTTTTCGATAAATTTTTTTCTTTAAAAATTTTGTCGAAAAATTTAACGAAAAATAAAATAGAAAATCAAGTTTGATGGATTTGATTGACAATTGAACAATGATGTTGATGAAATTTTCCTCCCTGTGCAGTTGATGGGAAAAAATAAATAACATTTAAAATTATCTGTAACTATTTTTTCGCCTCGTCTGGTTCAATCTATTTTGACCATCCATAATGATTGCAGAGCCAAATAAAGGTTAAAACTATTCTTCTTTCATGTTCACCATTTCATCAATCAATTTCAAGTCTAACTCTTTATCCTTTCAGCAAATATTTTATTGAAAATTTCATTTGTTCCTCTCCAAACAGCAAACACAAAAATGTCAAACTTGTAATTTGACCCAACCCTAACCCTTGACTTGATATAATTAAAGCAACTGTTTACAGCTCAAGGCTACAACAGGGAACAATTTTGTTATGCCAAAAATGGTACACAATTGAAGAGTTGAATTTCTCAGAAAATCCCTTGAAAGGAGTCGAGAAAAGAATATTATTGACATGAAATTTCTCGAGGTGCATTTCATGAGAAAAGCCAAATATACAGGGCGTAGCAGTCAAATAGTTTCGAATCGTTGATAACTTTTTCGCACTTCGTTCGAATTCGAAAAAATTTTCCATTCACTCAATCAGTCAAAGTTCCTTGATAACTTCGGAAGAATCAATCAAGAATCCTATCAAGAACTTTGACTAATTGATTGCATGGAATTGAAAAATTATCGAATTCGAAGAATGTTCGAAAAAGTTATTTACGATTCAAAACTTACCATTTGACTGTCACTCCCTGTACATATAAATATACATTCAATCCCAGGCAATTTCAATTCTTGTCTACCTGAAACCACTTCTCACATTTCAAGACTTTTTTTTCGTTGAAAAGTGAAACAAAAGAAAAGCATTAAACTTTCATGAAAAAAAGAATCATTCATTCTTTCATGAATTTTATTGACATGAAGTGAAAAGAAAACTCCCTGAGAAGCTGAAAATTTATCGAAAAAATTCAAGTCCAAGAAAGCAAATGTGAATAACAAGATTGTCAAAAGAAAAGTAAAAAAGCAAAATTGAGATAAACGCCAAGAAATTTGAATGGAACAATTTGGTTTGGGAAAAAAGCATTTTCTTCTTCTTCTTGAAACAAGTTGATAAATACTCGATAAATTGTCAGTTATCATTTTTTAATGATAAATATATTATTATTTAAATAACTTGTTCAGAAGAAAAGTTTACACTCAAATGTAATAAACAAATCAAAGTCAACAAGAAAAGTAAGAAAAAGGATGAACAAAAATGAGGCGAAAAAAAAGAGTTAGACTTTTAGCTAAACAAATAAGAAACATTTTTCAATTTTCCCCTGAGAAAAGTAATAACTCGAAAAAAATTTTAATGTTTACCTACTTTTACTTTCACTTTGAAACTGTGTTCGAGTTTATTGAACTGATGTAATAACGATGATGATTTTGGCACAACAAGCTAATAGATTGGTGAATGGATTGGGTTGAAGGGAGGGAAAACAAATAGAGATGTATCGAGTTCGTGACATTTTCGAGTCAAAATAGTGCAAGAATTTTCTCTCTGAATATTCATGATATTTATCATTTGCAATTTTGACTTGTGATTGACTGTGAACTTTGGTTTAACGCAAGTCAACCATTGATGGTAAAACAGTGAAAATTTAAAGTCATTATTTTGTTCCAAATGAGAATAAAGTTTGTCAATATTGTGGGTTTTAAGTTGACAATTTATTGTCATGAATATTCTTCATGGAAAATTATTCATTTATTTGGAACTTTTTTCTTGGTTCCATTGGACTTTCATTTGTTTCGGTGAAAGAATGGTTATGTTTGACCGCAAAATTCAATTCAATTCACTTTTGTATCTTTCAAATCGTATTCAGTCTTCATCTTTATATGATATAAAGCTTCATTTTCATCAACTTTATCATGAATCTCATTGGAATACAGTTGAATGAAAAAGAAATGCTGAGAGAAAAAAAATAGGAAGAAAAAAGAATAGAAAAAAAGGACAAAAAAAGTAAAAGATATTTTTCTTTTGTACACAAAAATCAAGATAAATATTGTTCTGTCCATGGACTCGGTTAGTTATCATTCATGAGACATTCATTCTCTTTCCTTTGCATGACTTGACTCACAGGGTAACCTCATGATTCTCAACTGATACAGTGAGATAAATAAAGCAAGAAATTATCAAATCTTGAACGTGGTTTGAAATTCAATCACAGTGTATTATCTTTACCGTCACCTCTCTTCATTCACATCTTCATCTTAACCATTTTCACCAAGAAAAATGTCTCAACAAAACCGAGTTAACCAAGGCTACAAGACATGCATCTTGCAACCTAACAGAGTCAACCTCATCCCATCAAGTTTAACATATAGTGAGACCTTTTTTGCACGAAATTCATTTTTC